CCTTGGAATTCGCTACATCCTGTCCTCTGCTTGACCCTGCAGTGAGGTGCCCAGATGCAGGCATGCCCGGATGAGCCCTTAAGTAGTCTGTAGGAGAGTAGGCACACCTTTACCTGCCCCAGGCTCAGGTGCCCAGCCAATGGAAAGCAGGCAACCAAACGGTGAGGCCCCACAGAGAGAGCATGGCTTTGGGACAGGAGATTAGGGTCTTGGGCGTGTTCTCTGCCGGGTGGGGCTGCCCAGAGCTGGCTCGGGGCCTGCCTGCCGCTTCCTGAGGAGCAGGGAAGGTGGTCCCGCTTCCCCCCGGGACTCAGTTTCTTTAGATGCACATGCACTCTCCTGGCTGGGGGAGAGGACGACTAGGCTCTCTAAGAGGCGATGTGTGTCCTGTGACCTCAGTGGGCACCGCAGAATCCAGCTGCCTCGCGGTGACCCTGTGCGCGGCGGGCTGGAATGCCACACAGGGTCTCTTGGCTGTCATCTCCTTGGAAACAGATTGCCAGACAGTTCTTCTGAGGCATCTGAGAGTAGGTTTGAACCGCCGACGCTTCCGGGAGAAGCCAACTGCTTAAGCAATCACGTAGCTCACCCAGGGCTGCTTCTGAATCTGCAGTGATTGTGGAGAAAGACTTGCTGAACCAACCAGTGAGCTTGCCTCTCCTTTTCTCTGTCCTGTCCTGCACGAGGCTCAGGACACTCACCTGCGCCCGGGGCTCAGGTCCACCTGGCGGCCACTGCCCCTGGGCAGGCAGCTGTCAGCACAGGGGAGGAAGAAGGGGACAACAGCCTCTCTCCTGGGGTGTGGGGCGAGGCACCATCTCTGTTTACTGTTCTTTCTCAGCCTGCAGACAGAGTGTCCATGAGAGAGCCCTCCAGGCCTGTCCGGGGCGCTGTCCTCTGCCAGGAACATATCTTTGGCAAAGACTCTGTGCTCAGGGGGACTTGGGAGCCGAGGGGAGGAACTTGAGGGTGTCATTTATCCAGGCACTGTGGGGAGAGGCTGGCTGCAGGGATCAGAGAGGGAGGCAAAGCAATGCATTGGATAGGTTGGGGCTCAGGAGACACCTGGCAGGTCGCTGAACAGGGATGAGCGTGCACCTTGCTCCTGCCAGACGCCCATTCTTCAGCTGGGACCCCTGAGGCATGGGAATGGGGGGTAACTTCCCCAAGATCACGGGCAGCCTTAGGTTCACCTGATCCAAGGCCTCACAGCCCCCATGAGTCTGAATCAACTTGAAGGCAGGGAGTCCAAGCTTTTTGAATCCAGAGCCTATTGACCCCAGTGGGTACTGGGTTCCAGAGAGCCAGGTGCTGTAGGCCTGCAGGATCTTGGCTTGGGGTGGGGGTGATGGCGGGTGCAGGCAGCTCCAGGGAAAGTTTCTGGCTGTGCTGTGTCCAGCAGGCAACTGGGAGGGGACTACCCACTGGGCCTGGTCGACTGTTTGGGGAACCCCTTTCCCTGTCGGGGAACCACTCAGGGAGTGTGGCCCCATTGCTGCTCACTGAGGGAGGAGAGAGGAGGGAGAAGCCTGGTCCAAGGGGAATCTGGGTTCGGGCTGGGACAGCGTTTCAGCCTCAACTCTGCAGCCGAGCAACATGGTGACCAGGTGCAACCCTTTGAGAACTTAGAGCCGTAGAAGGGCATTTGGGGAGAAACTCAGAAATCATTTCCGTGTCAGCCGGGAGACGGAGTCCCACAGGAAGCTGATGGTGGAGCCGGAGGTTTATTGCAGACCTGGGCAGACTCGCTCCCTTCTCCTCGTGTCCTGCTGCCCTGGGCCTCAGTCTCCCCAGAGGTGGGGTACAATGTCCCTGTAATCAATCACTTCCTCTGGCTGAACTCTGAGGCTCAACAATGGGGCAGACAGCTGACAAGCTACCTGCTGCAGACAGAAGCTAGTCTTCCTCCAGCTGGACTGGGTGTTTGGGTGGGGTGGGGTGGGGGGTCTGTGGCCCGAGAGTGGAGAAGACAACAGAGGAGGCCTTGCTGATGGGGACATCACTGTCACTGGCCAGAAGGGGGTTTCCAGGCCGCCGTTGAAGACCTAGACCCTGCACCCCCAGGCTTGAGTGCCGGCACCGACATGTGAGCGCTTCTCCGTGGGGGAGAGGCCTTAGCTCTCAGCTTCCTCATTCGGAAAAGGGATCTGAGAAACACAGGGCTGTTTTGAGGGTCCGATGGAATGACGCATGAGCACCCTGGACCCAGCACTGCACACGTTCAATAAATGTCTGCTACTGGACCTCTCACCAGATGGCCAGCCGTTTGAAACCACTGGCCACACCGAGGGAGAAAGATGAGGCTTTCTACTCCCCTGAAGAGTTACAGTCTCAGAACCCCTGGATGGTTCTCCTCTGTCCTGTAGGTCACTAGGGGTCAGAATTGGCTCGAAGGCCGTGAGTTGAGTGAGCGGACCGGTGTTTGTGGGAGAGGGGACCGTCGCCTTCCGTGAGGTGTGAGAGGCTTGGGAATCCCGTGGGGGGTGGGTCCACTCGGTCCTACGGGGTTGCTGGGGGTGAGAATGGTCTCAGTCGCAGGGGAGCTGCCTGTGGCTTGGCTGGCATGATTTTTTTTGCCACCCTTTAACACACGGAGAGCTGTCCGCCTGCATTGCCAGCAGAGTTTCGGGATGCCATCTCTCCTGGCAGAAGGAGTCAGGGGCCCAGGTTTCAGTCTTGGCTTCATGGTGACCTGGCGAAGGACTGAGCCTCAGCTGCCTCCTCTGTAAAGAGGCCTGATGAAAACACACCTCCATTGTGACAGGCTGGAGGGTGGCGCGCTTTGCAAGGGCCTTGCTGGCCGATCGCAAGCGCGGGTTGCTGCTGAGGGGGCTAAGCTGGGTGTCATTCTGCCTGAAAGTAAAGCTGGGGATGTTAGGCATGCTAGCAGTGCTTGGGCCCCAGCACCAAGCTGTGCGTTCACCGGGGTCAGAGGGAGGCACCACAGGTCTGACCCTGGGTGGGAGGCCTGCCCGGCCACCTGTGTTTGTTCTGCCAGGGCTTTGGAGGATCTGTGGCATTGTTATGTCAAGGGCGTGGGTCTGATCCTGCTAGTCGGCCCTGGGAAGAATGGGGCACCGTCACCCAGGCCTGGCAGGTTCTGTGAATCACCTCCTGTCAGGGTTGATCCTCCTCAGAGAAAGCGAGCTCCTGCTTTGGGCTGAATCATGCCTTTTCAGAGAGCGCTGAGCCATCAGCTCGGGCTGGTGGGCCGGGCTGGGGCAAGGGGTCAGTCTCTAGAGGTCTTGCTGCAGCAGGCCGGGGCCCTGTCCCTGGTGCTGACACCCTGGGGGGGGTGAACAGGGCCCACTTCCCTGCCCGCGGAAGACAAAGGATGGGAATCCCTGACTCAGCTCTCCATGCGGCCTTGCTGCTGAAGCAGCAAAAGAGGATTCGAGGTTCACCAATGCCACCCCAGTCCAACCCTGAGCAGGGCATCAGGACCCCAGTGGGCTGCCTGGCCCAGAAGATGGCTCTCCAGAGGCCACCTCTTGGTCTTCTTGGTGGGTCAGGGCTGGAAGTCCAGAGTAAGGACTTGGAAATGATCTCTTCGTTCCTGGTTCTGAGAGGCTTATCACGCTCTCAAGACTCAAAAACTCACTGCCACAAGTCATTTCTGACCCGTAGGGACCCCCTAGGGCCCTCTAGGACAGAGTAGAACGGCTCCTGTGAATTTCTGAGACTGTAATTTTTACAGGAGTAGAAAGCCTTATCTTTTACCCATGGAGCAGCAGGTGGTTTTGAACTGCTGGTCTTGTGGTTAGCAGGCTGGTGCGTCACTCACTATGCTACCAGGACTCCTTTAATCTAGGAGGATCGCCATCAGGCTAGTGGTTGCCTCTGGGGGAAGAGGGCCTGGGGTTTGGCTGAAGTGCTGGAAAGACTACTCTGGGGGTGGTGATCCAGGTGGACATGTGGGTAGAACTCCACAGCGAGCTAAGAACTCATCGAGGCGAGCACTTAGGGTGTGCGAAGAACAAGAGCCTCAATGTCAGAAGGAACCCACCTCGGGGTTCAGTCCCGACTCTCCCCAGGAAGCTCAGCTTCCTTACCTGTGCAATGGGGAGAAGCGGGAGCCACCTCACTGGGTTGGTGCCCAGATGAAACGAGACAGCCCCCTCATGCTCACGGTGCCTCTTTGCTTCCCCTTTGCGTGCCTTAGTTTCCCTAGCTGTGCCAGGGGGCCTCGGAGGTCCCTAGCCCCCTGTGGTTTTTTCTTGTGATCAATTGAAACTCCTCGAGCAGACGGGTGGGCACCGGGGCTGCCGCCGAGGGCTCAAAGAGAGCACCGGTGAGGATGGTGGGCGAGTGCTGTGTGCCTCGCCCTGTTGTCCACCGAGCAGCTCTGTGCTGGATGCCCACAAGGACAGACATTCCGCAGGCGGTAGATTCTATGGTACTGATGAAGGCTGGTCATCCTCGGGGCCTTGGGAGACACGGAGCGGATGGAAGATCGAGAACGAGGTGGAGCATTTTGGTGGGAAGTTTCAGAAACTGGAAGGAGGGAGGCTGAGGGTCGTGGAGCCCTCCCGGGCACTGGCCCACTCTGCACAGGGCTGCCCTTTCCTTGGAGAGGCGCCCGGGCAGACCCGGGCAGCACCGTCCTCCTGCTCCTCACACGGGGTGGGGCGGAGAGCCTGCGAAGAATGCGCCCTCAGTGGAAAGGTGATTGAGAATATGCAGGTGTCAAAAGGGGAGTCTCAAGCTGAACCCAGTTCCTTCTGAATCATCCCTTTTGTTAAGGATTAACAACCACCCAGAGCAAAGCCGCCCCCAAAAGGCCAGCCTGCCCTGGAGATCAGAGGTGGCTGGGCTTGTGGGAAATCAGCAGTGCAGTTGGCAACCGGTCGGAGGGTGGGGAGGGGGAGGAGAGAAGTCGAGAAGGCTGTCCCAGCCCCGTGGAAGGTGTATAAGAAGCGTCCACTCTGGGCAAGAGCCACCATCCCAGCTCAGGCTCAGTCAAGCTCCTGTCTGCACCTGCCTGCCATCTCTAGCTCACCATGAGTTGCCGCCTGCAGAGCTCCTCTGCCAGCTATGGAGGTGGTTTCGGGGGTGGCTCTTGCCAGCTGGGAGGAGGTCGAAGTATCTCCTCCTGCTCCACCCGTTTTGTCTCTGGGGGATCAGCTGGGGGCTACGGGGGCAGCATGAGCTGCGGCTTTGGCGGAGGTGCTGGTAGTGGCCTTGGAGGGGGCTTTGGTGGGGGTTATGGAGGGGGCTTTGGTGGGGGTTATGGAGGGGGCTTTGGTGGGGGTTTCGGCGCTGGCTTTGGGGACTTTGGCGGTGGTGATGGCGGCCTCCTCTCCGGCAACGAGAAGATCACCATGCAGAACCTCAACGACCGCCTGGCCGCCTACCTGGACAAGGTGCGTGCCCTGGAGGAGGCCAACGCCGACCTGGAGGTGAAGATCCGAGACTGGCACCAGAAGCAGAGCCCCACCAGCCCGGAGCGTGACTACAGCCACTACTACAAGACCATTGAGGAGCTGCGGGACAAGGTGGGGCCCGGGGTGCTGAGGGGGTCCCTGGTGCCGGGTAGGTGGGGGGTGAAGGCAGGAAGGCCCGCAGCGCGCCAGCGGACCAGACGAGGCTGTGTGCGTGGCGTGCTCCCCTCTGGGGGGGAAACATTCTCGTCTCACTTCCTGATGGGCTTCCTCAAGCCACAGGCCTCTAAAGGCATCTTCTCCCATCCTTCATTTTTATGGCTTTTACGACGCGTGCCAACTTGTTCCGTGCTTTCCAAACAGTTATGCTCTTAGTGACTCCGTCTCTCTCGTCCTAACTCACCGAGTTGTTTGGAAATCGTGACAGTTTTAAAAGCCACGAAGAATGTCTAAGGTCACCAGAGAGAGGGTTCATGTTCACTCCTTGCTCCGGGGTAACTGTCTTTGGTAGGAATCCCGTTTAAGCTGTTACTCTCAGTGGGTGACAAGCAAGGGAGCCATGGGGGGCCGTGGCCTGGCCGGTGCACAGCCTACACCCGTTCAGTCGTGGCCTGTCTCTCAGCGGGGCTGCATGCTTGTTGGAACACAATCCCACTGGCTTGGGTTATACCCAGCCAGGTGGGGTGGGTTTGCAAACCTTTGCAATGTCAAAGCTTGGGGAAATACAATTTCAGCCAAGAGGCACATTCGTTGGCTTTCCCTCCACCCGAAGCTGGGAGATCAAGCCCGGGTGTCATCAGTAAACCCGTGGAGCACTCTGCCCTGCAGGCCCTCTCACTCTACTGGGAAGGTTTACAGACCACGGGCAGGAGAGCTTGCCACCCCGAGGTTCTGGGGCGAGGTGATCTCAGCGGGGTCATTGTTCTGAAATGTACACCCCGCTCCAGCGTCCCTTTCCAGAAGAGGAACTTTCTGTCCGGAGGGAAGCACCTTGTCCCGGCGCCTTCCCCCTGCTCTCCCCGTCCTCCCGCCCAGGCATGGGGACCCTCTGGAGTGACTGCCCTGTGTATTTTGCAGATCCTGGCAGCCACCATCGACAATAACCGGGTCATCCTGGAGATCGACAATGCCAGGCTGGCCGCGGACGACTTCAGGCTCAAGTGAGTCGCCTTCTCTCGTCGGCTTTTCCCAGCTGTCTTTTCTCTGAGACCAGTGCTCCTCTGAGCATTGTTGATGCATCTGTGATGCTGCCCAGGGGCAGGGGCAGAATCCACTGCAGGGGTGGGGCAGGGGCAGGGGCAGGGGCGGGGGCAGAATCCACTGCAGGGGCGGGGCAGGGACAGGGGCAGGGGCGAATATCACTGATTGATGCTTTCTTTTCTCCCCTCTCCCATTTTTCATTGTGATCATCTTGCAGGTATGAGAATGAGCTGGCCCTGCGCCAGAGCGTGGAGGCCGACATCAACGGGCTGCGCCGGGTGCTGGACGAGCTGACGCTGGCCAAGACTGACCTGGAGATGCAGATCGAGAGCCTGAACGAGGAGCTGGCCTACATGAAGAAGAACCACGAGGAGGTGAGGGGGCTGGGTCCACCTCAGCGAGAAAGGGGTGCTCCCTGGGGCACCGTGGCTTCCTCTGTGGGGGCAGTAGGGCCCTTCCGGGTACTTCCAGGACTCAGAGCCCAGGGGAAGAGGGCTGGGGAGCGCCTCCCATCCTCCTGTCGCACCCCCGCAGGAGATGAAGGAGTTCAGCAACCAGGTGGTGGGCAACGTCATCGTGGAGATGGACGCCACTCCGGGCATCGACCTGACGCGGGTGCTGGCCGAGATGCGGGAGCAGTACGAGGCCATGGCCGAGAAGAACCGCCGCGACGCCGAGGCCTGGTTCCACAGCAAGGTACCCCCCCGGCCCTCTGACCGCCCACAGCTGGGCGGCACCAGGCGGACACCCCGCTCTCGGGTCAGGCCCTCTCCTGGGGCTCCCCCATCACGTCATCTTCTTGCCCATGAATTGCAGAGTGCAGAGCTCACCAAGGAAGTGACCTCCAGCACCGCTATGATCCAGACCAGCAAGACGGAGATCACCGAGCTCCGGCGCACACTCCAGGGCCTGGAGATTGAGCTGCAGTCCCAGCTCAGCATGGTACCCCCCCACCCCCGAGCCCCCCCACCACAGCCAGCCCCTCCAGGCCTCCCTCTGGCCTGACTCTGCTCATGCCTTCTCTTCTGCCCCCACCAGAAAGCCGGCCTAGAGAGCACCGTGGCGGAGACAGAGTGCCGCTACGCCCTGCAGCTGCAGCAGATCCAGGGGCTCATCAGCAGCATTGAGCAGCAGCTGAGCGAGCTCCGCAGCGAGATGGAATGCCAGAACCAGGAGTACAAGATGCTGCTGGACATCAAGACGCGGCTGGAGCAGGAGATCGCCACCTACCGCAGCCTGCTCGAGGGCCAGGACGCCAAGTAGGTCCTTGTGGCCTCCTGGGAAAGCCTAGGGGTTGGACCCTAGGGGGACGCTAGAGATTCAGGCCTTCATGCACGGAGAGAGGGTGGGACAGGGCTCAGGCAGGGGGCAGACCTAGCTGAGCACGCACAGCCCTGAAGAAGGTCCGGGACCGGAGCTCCCCTGGTTTCTTGAATTAGACTCTGGGAGTGTCCAGAGCAGGCGGCATCCTGTGAACCTGTAGCTTGTAGCTCATGTCTGTGAATTCCTGGGTGGAAAGGAGAGGGGCCACGGAGTGGACATCTGGTAGTAGAAGAAGTCTTAGCGTGGATTCAGCTCAGCCTGATTGCAGGGACCCAGCTCAGGGGACTAGGGGGACCAGGACACGAGCAAACCGGGGACAGGAGACAGCTCCTGGGAGATGCCCGAATTCCTGGGGCCAATCGCTATTCCTGAGGCCTCTTTGACTTGTGTCTCCCCCCCCCCCCCCCCCCCCCGGGTTGGGGGGAAAAGCCCAAACAGGGGCTCCTACTAAGGGTGTGAGTCCCCACAAGAAGGGCAGGGGAGCGCCTGCTCCTGGCTACCTCCTGCTTATCCCTGTCTGTCTCTCCTCCCCTCTCCCAGGATGACTGGCTTCCCCTCCGGAAGTGGAGGTGGTAAGGAAGGGCCCTCTAACGACCGCCTGGCCGCCTACCTGGACAAGGTGCG